ATGCCAAGCAGATGCTCTGCCACAGAGCTGTAGCTCCTCCCCTAATGATTGCGCTGGCTGGGTTTAAAAAACAGCCTCCCCTCTGCAACTGTGTCCAAGCTCAGAATCTCACTTGGACTGCTGTGCCAAGCTACCCATCTCTACTTAGAGCTTCAGCACAATGTCTGCAAGGGTTACGGTGCAAAACAAGTGAACCTGCGTTGCACGGCCTGAGAGGGGGTGGCGCTCCTTCCCTTATCAGCTCCACGCTTGCTCACTTGTCCACAAATACCAGACCTTGGAAATGCTTTGCGAAGAGGCCACCGGGCAGAATGAGTTGCAGAATTCGGGCAGGAGGGATGAGAGCAAAGTACCTTGTCAGAGGGATGGAAAATTAAGTTGACTGTGTTTTCTCCCCCCCGCCCTCCCCTTTGATAGCAGCCAGATGTCCATGTGATGCAGGAGTCGGTCCAGACCAGCCATTCCGAGAGGCCGCTGGAGGAAATCTGGAAGCTCAAGAAGGAGCTGGACGACGAGAGCCAGCGACGGCAGCAGCTGGAGGCGGAGATCAAGGCAATCCAGGAGAACATCCTCTTCCTGCAGAACCAGAAGCCCCAGGAGTCCGTGGTCAGGAAGGAGGTGGTGAAGAAGATGCCCGACCCGCAGCTGGACGAGAGCTTCCACAAGATGCAGCAGAACCTGGCTGAGGAGCAGCGCAGGAACCAGGCGCTGCGGGACGAGGTGGAGGGCCTGAGGCTCAAGCTGCGCGTCCTGGAACACGAGAAGAAAGAAGGCGGGCAGGAGTACGTGGTCAAGGAGGTCCTGAGGATCGAGCCTGACAGGTCACAGGCAGAGGAGATCTTGAAGCTGAAGGAGGAGCTGGAGGAACTCAAGCGGCAGGAAGGGTCCCGGGAGAACGAGATGGCTGTCCTGCGCAGGCAGGTGGCTGCTCTGTCCAACGAGAAGAACACGGAGCTGGAGAAGGTGACCGAGAAGGAAGTGGTGAAGCTGCAGAACGACCCCCAGCTGGAGTTGGAGTACCAGCAGCTGCAGGAGAGCAAGCAGAAGGAAAGCACGCTGAGGCAGCAGCAGGAGGAAGAACTGCGCTTCCTGCAGGACAAGCTGAAGCGGCTGGAGAAGGAACGGGCCATGGCCGAGGGCAAGATCACCGTCAAGGAGGTGCTCACGGTGGAGAAGGACCTAACGATGGAGAGGGAGGTGAACGACCTGCGGCGCCAGTATGAGGAAGAGAAGGCCAGAGGGCGCTCCAATGAGCGGGAGAAGGCTGAGCTGCTCCGGAAGATCCAGGCCTTGGAAGAGGAGAACGCCAAGGTGATTGTCCAGGAGAAGGTCCGGGAGATTGTGCGGCCGGACCCCCAGGCGGAAAGCGAGGTGGCCAACCTTCGCCTGGAGCTGGTGGAGCAGGAAGGGAAACTGCGAGGTGGGGAGGAGCAGCTGAAGGACTGCCAGAGCGAGCTGGCTGCCCTGCGGAACAGAGGGCCCCAGGTGGAAGTTCAAGAAGTCATCAAGGAAGTCATCAAGTACAAGAACGACCCGGAGACGGAGCTGGAGCTGCAGCAGCTCCGGGACGAGATCGTGGATCGGACCAGAGCCATCGAGAGAGCAGACCTGGAGATCTACCAGCTGAAGCAGGAGATCGAGACTCTGAAGAACACCCAGCCTCAGGTCCAGGTGAAGGAGGTGATCCAAGAGGTGCTGCAGTACCGGGAAGACCCGCAAACGAGAGAAGAGGTGGAGTCCTTGAGGGCTCAGCTGGCCGAAGAACAGCGGAAGCACATGGATCTGGAGCGGGACCGGAGGCAGCAGGAGGAGATCATCCGGCAGAAGGAGGAGGAACTCTCCCAGGTGAAGGAGAAAGTGGTGCAGCAGGAGGTGGTGAAGCTGGAACAAGACCCTGCCCGGAAAGCCGAGATCGACTCCTTCTCCCAGAGCATAGAGAAGGAGCTCAACCAGATCGACACACTGCGGGGCGAGATGCGCAAGCTGCAGCGGAGGCGGTCGGAGCTGGAGCGGCAGCTGGAGGAGCTTGAGAAGGAGCGGCAGGCCCGCCGAGAGGCCGAGCTGGAGGTGCAGAGGTTGCGGATCCGGCTGAACGAGCTGGAGGAACAAGAGCGGGAGACCACGGAGCGGGTCACCGTGAAGCAGAAGGTAATCCTCCAGCAGGACCCTCAGCAGGAGAAGGAGCACGCCCTGACCAAGATGGAGCTGGAGGAGGAGAAGCACCGGAGGCAGGTCCTGCAGGCGGAGCTAGAGGCACTGCGGAAGAAGCTCCAGACCCTGGAGAAGATGGAGGTCAAGGAGAAGGTCGTCGTCTCCGAGAGCATTCAGGTGGACAAAGGGGACACCGAGTTTGAGATCCAAAAGCTGAAGAGCAACCTGGAGGAGGAGAGCCGGCGGAAGATGGAGCTCGATGCAGACATCAATCGGCTGGAGGCCAAGTTGTCTGAAGTGGAGTTCAACAACTCCAAGTCTTCCAAAGAGCTGGACTTTTTGAGGGAGGAAAACCACAAGCTGCACTTGGAGAAGCAGAACCTCTTGCTGGAGACCCGGAGGCTGCAGTCTGAGATTGAGCTCACCATGACGGAAGCCCGGGATTTACGGAACATGTCGCAGGTGGAGAGCAGCCTGAACTTGGACTCCCGCTTCCAGTCGCTGGAACGAGAACTGGATGATTTGAAGCACATGTCTCGGGAGAAGGACGAAGAAATCGAGCAGCTCCAGAACCGCCTTCAGACCGTGGCCATCAAGAGGGAGCAGCGGGAGAACCACTTGAGGCGTTCCATCGTGGTCATCGACCCAGACACTGGCAAAGAGATGTCCCCCGAGGAAGCCCACAAATTCGGCCTGATCGAGTGGAGTCTCTACGTCAAGCTGAAGAACCAAGAATGCGACTGGGAAGAGATCACTGTCAAAGGGCCCAACAGCGAATCCTCCGTCATCCTTGATAGGAAGTCAGGGAAGAAGTTCTCCATCGAAGACGCCTTGAAGAGCGGAAGGCTAACCCCTGCTCAGTACGACAGTTACCTGAATAAGGAGATCTCCATCCAGGAGCTGGCAGTTTTGGTGTCTGGACAGAAATAGCTTGCTTTCTCCTCTGAGAGAGGGGGGGGGGAAGGAAAAAAAAACTGTTTTGAAGCAGCCAGCAGCTTGAAGCTGCACCACTTGTTACAAACTTAGCCATTTGCTGCCTATTGCCCGCCTTCCGGGGGTTTATTCCCCAAATCTAAGGCCTTAATCCTCCCCCACCCAATGCTGCATTTTTCAAGATTGCAAGATACCCTTTTCCTCCGCCAACCAGTAATGTCAAACTACTTTGGCTCAGTCAGAATGGTGGCCGAGAAATAGTGGGGAAGACCCATCCGCTGCCCAACTTGCTCTTATGAATGTGTATCCCCCTTGTCTATACGCCCCCTCAAAGCACATTCCCTCAGCACAGAGACTAAGACTGCAAGCCGTGATACCGCTCCTCCAGCCATCTCATATAGTTGCAAGTCGGTTTCCTCAGCTCTTTCGTTCTCGGGCTGTTGCAAGGCTATTTGTGTATGTTACTTGGGGATAATACTGGCCTACCTTCTAGGGCTGTTGTAAGGCTGAGTCTATGAAAAGTTCTGGCAACTTTTAAACTGCTGCATTCAGTGTTATTACTGCATTAAGTCCTTTACTCTTCTCCCCCCGTCCCCCAGCCATTGAATTATGCCAAAGATAAAAGCTTGCATGAGAAAGAGGAAGCGGTCAAATCCAGAGCAGTTGTGGAGAGCCCGATAACCATC